AATGACCGTCCGTTTTTATTTATGTTTCAACACAATTATTTTTTGTTAATCACAAAAAAATACAGTACCTATTGATAGAAATGCCCACTATAGACACTAAGGGTCCTAATACAGCCACATTTCCTGCATTCCCGTATTTACGCCACTGATAATAATTAATAAATAGTAAATTATATTTTGAAAACGTATATTTGAATAATGAATAAAAATAATATACTCTCCGTGAAGGCGTGAAATACCAATAGTTATAAAAACTTACATGACGATTGTGTAACACTGTCCCTGTCAATAATATGATGTATTTTATCCTGAGTTGCTTTCAATATTGTATGTCAGCATTTCTAATTACAAAAATAATAATTGAAAAACAAGAACAAAACAGTACCTAATTTAAATAAAACCAAGAAATATATAGGAGTACCTACCAATTTTTTTAAGCGTTTTCTAATGTTTTTTTTAATCAATTAACCATATACGGTGTCTTTATGCGTATTATGCGTGTCCTACGTGGTTCTATATTATAATATATGTATATAGTACGAGTACAGCGGTAGACCATATTGCCATATACCATACATAATATATATAATAGTTACATGGTGACTTGACACTTGACAGCCAATAGAAGGCATAGAAAGTAATTTGGGTTATGTACCGGAGATCTCATCATCATAAATTGAGTTTTACACGTATAATATTATAATATTATATTATATGTGTATAGAAGAAGAAAAAAGAATTAAAAAGTGATATTAAAAATACTTATAAAAATATAGAGCGCGAAATTACAGCGTTTTAATTTCTAAACGTAATTAATGGTATGACCATCGATATATATCACTGAATTGTATATTTGTACCTATAAACAAACAGTTATTGGATCAATTTGCTTCGGTTAACAGTTAAGTGGCATGAATTATAAGCACTTAAACTTCTTTTCGAGTGGTAGAATATAACTATGTATAAAATGTATAATAGGTATATAATATAGTGCTTCAGTGGTGACTGTCTAATTAATTAATGGATTCGGTACAAGTCTGTGCTATTAATTTGTCGTCTCCGATGCACACCGCGAAATGCATTATCCGTGTAAAGGTAAAACAATAAAATACCGTAAAGCGTTGTTTTGTTTTCATCCGCTTCATTGTCTCAATATCGAATTTAAAAATTTGGCCATACAATTTAGCTGGTCAAACGTGTGAATCGTTTCACGTCGCAGCTGTTCCCTATAAATTATACATATTTCCCGTAGGTATTTCAATTGTTTCACTGAGAATTATTTATGAAATGCATCTATTACCAATGTATAATATTTTCACGGCCGATCTGTAGTTTAGGTAAACAGTATAAGTATAAAATACCAATTCTATTGAACCTAATTTCAAATTAGTTCATAATATATTGGAGTTAATATACTACAGATAATACAAAAAAATGACTATAGATTAATATTAAATTATTATTGTTCTACGTTTTCATTAAAAGCTACTATATTATAACTATATACTACAACAGAGATGGCAAATTATTTTGATGCTACATTGCTAAAAATTACATTTTTTTTGCTAGCGTGCCTTTAAAATATTATATATATTATATTCAATATTGTAAGAAAAAATTATCGTCAAATAGCGTAAAATTCGATATCGGATTTTAATTTTTTAATCTTTACTGAAAGACGTCAACGGTGTTGAAAAAGTACAAACATTGTGATGTAATTTATTATTAAAAATAAAAATAATATAATATATTACGTATTATGTAATATACATTTTTAATTTTTGGAGTGATTTAGTTTAAATCACTTAAAATTTATAAAATTTATTTTCGTTTATAAATGGTTGCCATTTATTACTCGAGCAGATCAGGTAGGTGCAAGCATGCATCAAGTCGTCGCATTCACATTGCCTCGATTAAAAAAACTATCTCTTAAAACCAAATGTAAATGTATATTTGTACCTTATAAACTTACTCAAAAACTACCTAATCTATTGAGTTTGAAACCATGTTAAAAATATACCAAGTGCTAAATCCAACCCGTGACTTTCTGTTGTCCATCTAGGTTGAGTTATTTCACAAAGCTAGATATATACACTGACGCCCTGAACTGAGGTACACTAAAGCTGAGATACACTCAAACCGAGATACACCTATGTGGCTATGTCGCAAAAAAACTGCACTTAGGCTAATATAAACCTGGTTATTTAAGTTAGTTACCTATACCTAAATATAGATTATATTTAATAGGTAAGTATTGATATTCGATTTTGTACTGTGGCTCGGTTTAATTGATTCAGTTTAGTACAATTTTAAAAAGTATTTAGAAATAAAAAAAAATACTTACTAGACAGTATTTTTGTAGTACGGAAAACTATACGTTAATATTATGTCACATGGATAAATCTAAGAACTATAATAGGTATATTATAATATAAATAAGGTATATAATATTCAATAGGCATTGTAAATTAGTAAATCTAATATAATATTTTGAGACAATCTATACATAATTATAATTAAGTAACGAGATGTGGGAGCTATACCATGGTTACTGGTTAGTATATAGGTACTTAGTATAGGGGAGTCAGACGTTTCAAATTTTAATAACCAATATTTGAGTGTGCTATAAGCCTATAACAGGTAGTTGTTTTATTCCGGTAGATAAGTATTAAGTTTCACTTCCCAAATGAGCTTCACGATTATAAAATTTTCGGATAAGTTTATATTTTAAGCCTATATTTTCCAATATTATGATGTTAATAATTAATAATTTATATAGCTATAGTAAGCTATAGCTTATCATATAATTTATATTATATTGTACAATGACGTGGACATGCATTTAATTCGTTTAGTTTAAAATTTCAACTGTCAACGTTAAAGTTTCTTTTGTTCATAAGTACCTACCTAAGTACTTATTAAGTTCGTGATGGAAGTGCAAAAAGTAGGTAACAGCGGGAAATATTGTTAAATTGATGAGTACCTATAAGCGTATAGATTAATTAGAATTATTTATTAGATTAAATAAATAATACCTACTATTAACAATAGTTATATAATAAATTTAAATAAAAATGTTTGTTAATAATATACCTACACAGTGTGAAAAAAATGATTAACTTATTATTATTTCCTCTACAAAACATTCCTCATCTTACACGAATTAGTAAAAATCCATGCTAAAATACACTATACAAATCAGGCTCAAATTAACTAAGGTAAAAAAGGTGTAGGTGGTACTGGCAGTACTCAAATGATTTCAAAAGATTTAACCATGCGTAAAATCCAAAAACCACACGCATTAGTTAAAATACAAACAACACAACTTTACTAAAACATAATTAAGGTTGTTGTATCCAAAAAAACAAAAAATGTACAAGTAACTAAAAATGCATATATTTTTAAATGTAAAATATATTATTTATATATATATTTAAATAAAAAAAAATTAAATAAATTGCCGTCAGTTGAGTAGGCACTCATCACAATAAATTACGCATTAGAATTCTATATTTTTTTACATGTTAAAATAACAATTTTATCATATTTGTATATACAAAAGTCACATTTTGGTAAAATTGATAAACGTTTTGACCGTCGGAATATATCTGGCTTGTAGTTTGAAAATATAGTGTGCAGTATTGTACAATATACCTATATAGGTAGGTAATGAGCTGATATTAAGTGTGTGGTTTTTATCTATCGACCTTTTTGAAGTCTAAATCATAAGTTTCAGTGGGTTTCATTGTTGGATGACTTCCCTCATCTTGTTCTTCATGTATTGTTTTATATTATTATGTATAATATGCTTACATCAGTCATATTTTTTACTTATTGTGTTAACAAATACAGATTGTACAATTTCCGAATAGTTATAAAAAAAAAATTATAAGTGTGCGGTTTTTGGATGTAACCGCAATGACAGCATCTATGTATAATAATATGTATGATACACAATATAATATAAAATGTATATTAACTCTTAATGAGCAACTACCTAATCATACAAATAATGAGCATACGCCAAATACACAGTAGGATATAATATAAATAATTTTTCACGAAAACCATTGTTTATCATCACTACAGACGTTGTCATTACCTACCTATGACCTATCTACAATGTACATAGACATATTAATAAATAGACTGCGCTTTCCTCACCCATCATCTATCCGAGTCTGAAATGTAAATTGTGTGAGTGAGATAAAAACTGTTGGGGGCAATCATGAAATAAATAATAATTATATTTCATTCATGCCATGAAATTATTGTAATTTATAGATTATAAAACTGATGAGTAGGGATAACCATCATTGATATTTGATAATGTCATAAATAATATCATGGAATAATTCGAGTATTCAATTATTTTCTCCATGCTCGCCCCCAACAGTGTTTTTCTCTCTCATCAATGTCGGTTTCATGATTTCTGTCTCTAAGCGCAGTCCATTTATTTATATGTCTATGCCTATGTGGGATATACATTTGATTTTATGAACTCAAATGAAGAAAAATTGATTGAAAATCCAAATTTAATGTTTACATTTCAGATTTCCCATTGAAACGATCGCATTACCCAACCCACACTGCAACGGTTGCTCGGAAAATATGTGTCCGGACACCGAAGTCGTGTAATCAACGGTCGTGGAGTTTCGATACAATTCACGGGGAACTGAAAGTTACATCCAAACAACATTTCAAAGCTATTTCCCGGTCTGGTTGTATGGACAAGTGTTTGAACGAGAAGAGCTTCCAATGCAGGCAAGTCTAACTTACGTATATAGCGTACTTTGTAGGTCATATTAATCATTATTAATGTATGAGAATTTATGTGACGCGTATGTGTAAGTTCTCGTAATTTAATAGTTAAAAATGTGATCCATAGAATTTTCTTTTCTATAAAATATCATAGAATATTATTAAAAATAGTAGGTACACGTCTGACATTATTTTAAAAATACTGAAATATACAAAATATACCTACATGACGCACATTACACAGAATCACATTATACATTTATACCTATGTATAGGTTACTACATTATTATAAGCCAATTAAAATAATTTATTCAAATGAAAAATTTCTTTGTTCTTACAAAAACTATTATAATATGGTGGAAAATGTATAATACTTAATAAACAATCGAGTATGAATATAATATTATATATAATACTAGCTGAATATCCTGCCTCCGCCCGTGTGCAGTTTTTTTTTTGTGGCTAATCCTATATAGTATAATATAGGTATACTACCTATGTAGGTGTATCTTGGTTTGGGTGTAGGTATCTCAGTTTCAGTGTACCTACCTCAGTTCATGGACAAATCGGAGTCAGCTTTGTGAAATAATTCGACATAGGGGGGCAACCGAATGTCTCGGATTGGATTATTTGATATATTTTTAACGTGGTTTAAACTTCTTACACTCTAAACTTTTCTGGAATCTGAAAAAACCAGTCTCTGAGATTTTCGTCTAATTCAATTGAGTAGTTTTTGAGTATATAAGCTAACCACATACACATTTGGTTTTAAGGTATAAATTCTTTATTCGAGGTCATAAGCGTGACAATTTGATGCATGTTTGTACCTGATCTGCCTGAGTAACCATTTGTATACAAAAAATAAAAAATAAATAATACTAATTTCTACTATTACTATTATAATCTGCAACCGCCACCAATTACTTATAAATAAAAAAAAGTTGCAATTTCCACCTTTAATCTCAAGTTCCTTTGACCACCTCGGGAAATCCTTTCTTATTGCACAAATAGATCATTTATAGAGGAACCACTATTGCAAATTTCAAGTTTGCACGTTTTGTAGTTTTTGAGACGTAGCGATGAATGAGTGAGTGGTATTTGGCTTATATATTATTATATACTGATTATAAAAAAATTATGAGGTCTAATTTTTTTTTGTTTTCATAATTTGAAATAATATACAGTTTCTTAACTGTGAATTTTAAATTTTGACCTCCCTAATGCACCAACGATATTCACTTTCCAATTGAAGAATAAAAAAAAAACACACACATCATTGTAAAATCACTACATTCATCGTTCCACTCAGAATCTAAAATGTACTAGGTAGTATATATTATATAGGTACTTATATATAGTATATATTTGCACATGCACGGTTATAATATGGTCGTTTGAGAACATTGCGCTGCAGTGTAGTTAAAGCAATTTTCTTACATATTTTATGTACCTACCTACATTATATATGAATATGTTATATGATGTAAACCGTATAATAACATAAATCTACGGTACATTCGTCCGGTTATAAATAAAATAAAAGAATATATCATGTGAACAAGGATTTGTGAAAAGATGAACGGTTTGATGGGAATAATCGATTTTTAGAAAAATATTATGCAACATATATTTTCATCAATAGATCATACACACAGACGTCGCAGTCGGTCCATCATATATAGCCATATATGTATCTGTGTTATATTATACGGTCGAAAACGGTTACACTATTGCACTTATATAGTTATACCTTATACCACTTATTTACTTACAACGTTATTTTTGTACATTGAATGTCAGGAGATATTTATAATTTTTTTCTTAGAAATTTTTTAGATCTTCCTCTGCAGTAGGTATAGTGACTAGGTAGGTACCTATGTTATTTATTAAGAGAGTCGGTAGCCCTAATTCAAAATGAAGTGCAAATATTTTAATATAAAATCATTTATTATTGACATAATATTATACCACAATTTACAAAAATATAACTGCTAAAAATGCATTTAATTTTATTTTGATTTGATAAATTTTCTTAAAATTGGAAATTACTATTTTATAGAGTGATTTATGATAATATTGAAAAAAACTATTTTGAAATCGGTTGAGTTTTGAATGAACTATAATAATTCATATATACATAATTAAAACTGATTTAATTTTTTTTCGAAAAATTCAAAATATCCAATTTGGAAATCTGGATTTTATACAATTTTTGATTGTAAAATCCTTTATTTAAGTCGTATAGTTTATTTTTTTTCAATTATTTGAAATCTCATTATTTTTGTTAAGTATATTTACCTAAAGTTGTTCCGCTGTCTTAAAAAAAAATTTAAATTCAAAAAGTTTAAACTTTATTTTAAACATTTTATCAGAAATTTTAAAATAGGAGGTACTTAATATATTTTTTTAAAGTTATTATACTTTCAAATTAATGAGTTACTATAATTCATTTTAAAATTTTAAAAATCATAATATATAAACCAATTGACTTACATAAATGTTTTTACTATCAAAAGTTAAAATCTAGATTTACTTAGCGTATCACAAAATTCTAGTTGTTTTCTCATTTATTATGCAAACAAATGAGTGTCATGTGATATGTGACGTATCGCGGTGAACAAGAAGTATTATTATATCCATTTTATGAAGTATGATTTTCAAATGTATAATAAATTAACCAATAAATATAAACAGCTCGTTGAAACTGGGCCAACATTATGTAAAAAGTCTACAGTAAACTGAATCTATCTATGACGATCAAACGATAATTTCAAAGTCCTCGAGATACTTCTATATAAAATCCGTGTATATACCTATACACATATTTATGTATACATACTTCATAGTTAGCTACCTAACCAAACCAGCCTTTAGCCTTAATACCAGGTGGTCAGTCTATAGTAAATTCATGAATTGTTCTAAAAAATGTGCATCAAGTTACCATATTCTATATTTCCAATTACTAAATAAATATATACCTAAGTATTAATTAAAAATGTATCTATTCAATGAGATTAAAATATTACAATTATTCAAAGCTAAAGTGAGCATTTTATATTTTTCACTTAAGGGGGATTCGATACCATACCAATTGATCTAATCAAACGATAAGAATTCTGAAAACAGATTTGAATTTGTCGTCAAGTCTACTTGAAATTGATTTTCCCACATTTTTGATATTATCCCCCAAATTAATAAAAATTTCACATTAAAAAAGAGTATTTCAATTTTCGGAGAAGTTTTTTTTTTTTAACATTTATTTGGATGTATACAATCTGTAATAAAAAATGTACAATGAGCATATAAGCTGGAAAATAAAATACAATTGACTTTGGCGGCGTGAGGGGAGTAGTTACCCAGCAGTAACACTCGGAGAAGTTAAAATCAAAAAATCAAAAATGTGGGAAAGTCGATTTCAAGTAGACTTGACGGCAAATTCAAAGCTGTTTTTAGAATTCTTATTGCTTCATTTGATGAATTGGTATGTTTGGCAAAAAACAAGTCTAAAATACTATGTCGCGTGTGTGTTAGACAAAAACAAAAAATCACGGTATCGAATCCCCTTAAAAATATAGTTAATAATATTAATAATAATATGAAAACTTAAATAAAATACTTTTTATGTATTATGTTGTACAGAAAAAAAATATGAAAATACCGAGGAAAATACTAAGTACCTACTATATACCTAATCCTAGGTGGATATAATATATACAGTATCCACCTTACTATAATCAGTGATCAATGCTTTAACCATCTATATTGATATATACCTTTACCTTGATAGTTACCTTTACCTATGTGTCTTTATAATCAATGATTATGCGAGTTTCTTAAAATCTTATCAATCATATATTCATATTGATTTTTTTTAGAATTGAAATAAATTATTGACTTAGGTACCTAATTATTATACATCCATATTTATAAATCATTTGGTTTAAATTCTAACGGGCACTCAAGCCTCTAGGCACCCGTGTTCATGCAGGCAGCTATGGAGATGACTATACAATATATAGGTAATTCCATTTACGAATCGATATGGTTCAATGGTTTAAAAAAATAAGAAAACAAGAGGATAATGTCATTATATAAATAATTATGTATATTTTATGTATCGTAGTTAAGGGGGCTGCAGCCGGTACCAATAATCACGTAAAACAGGCCAAAAGCTAGACAAAACTGTAGGACTTGGGTTGGACGGATTTTAATTTTGAAAACTAATTGAAAATCTTTAACAACTCTACTAAAGCATGGTCGTGAAAATGTATCATTATAACAAAAATTAATGCCGTACTTAAATATATAAAATACCAAAATTCTTATTTTGTAAATTGTTGATATCTTATCGAATAATTTGAATAAATAAAATCCCCTCGATCATTCCCTAACTAACACAATGACTAATTAATATATTTTTTCTAAATTAAAATCTGTCGTACCCAAGTCCCACAGTTTTGTCTAGCTTTTTGGCATTTTTGTCATTTGAATAGCATGAGTATATTTGATAAAATCTGTATAGTTGACATGTGCCTGCGCGTGCGAAAATTCACGGCGGCGGTCCTAATTGAAAATAAACTGCCAACATTCGATTCCTGGAATATAATATTACAAGATAAGAAAACGATTGCCGGCGGTGTGCTTAATTCTAATAAATATTATATTATTGTAATAATAATAAATATATATATCGCCCTGCGTACTTGTTTTGGTCCCCTGCCGGTACGTAATATTATTAAACGGCAAGCACAAATCATATTCTTATTTTGATTTTCGATTAGTCTGGTTAGGTAATAGTATAATGTGCAGTATCTAAAGAGAGAATTTTTATATAAAGTATTTACATATTTTTCATTTTTGGTGCTATGGACAGTAAAAGTGACTGGCATTATGGAAAAAAAACTAAGACTCTTTTATCCAAGAGAAAGAAAAATAAAGGTAACATTAATGCCCTGAATGGTTTAAAAAAAGTAAGTATTAATATTACAAATCTATTAATTACCTTAATAACGTCTTATCTTATTACCTTTTTAATTATTAATATTTATTCAATTTGTATTTTACTTGAAGTTTTAAAAATGTTTAGTATTTATAGTTTATACCTATGTCAGCAAGAAATCTATTAGCTCATCGTTCCTCAAGTTTGATTTATAATGTAAACAATAATTCGGTCGAAGGTTATAATAGCGTTGTTGCTAAATATGTAGGTGGAAAGAGAATAAACTTTTCTCATAAAGGGTCATATCAAGCGAGGTGTACCGCGGCAGTGTTGTCATATAATGCAGGGGCAACATCTTTAAGTGTTTTACACAAAAAAATTTGCAATAAAAGTCCTGGTGTTTTTACCAAACGTTTTATAAATAGAAAACAGACGACGACAATATGTAAAACAAACAGAAAACTTACATATGAACCAAGTAGTAGACGAGTTACCAAAGTTAGCTTACCTGCAGATAAAGACTATGGCAATTGTGAAGAAGATATTTGTAAAGAATTGGATATGGATGAAAATGATTACGAAAAACTTAAATTAGAATTTATAACGAATAAAATTATAAAAAATAGTAATGAAATCAAATTAATTGAAGAATCGACTAAACTTCAATCAGAATGTGAATTATGGCATAAAGAAAGACGAATTCGTTTAACCGCGTCAAACTTTGGAACCATTTGTAAACTTCGACCGGCGACGTCTAGAGCTAATACAATTAAGTCAATGTTGTATAAAACATTTTGCGGAAATGAGCATACAAGATATGGTATTGAGTGCGAACCCTTTGCGAAGACAGAGTTTCAAAAACTAACAGGGCTTAAAATTCAAGAATCTGGCCTTTTCATTTATGAACAACTACCGTTTTTAGCAGCCAGTCCGGATGGACTATTAGATGATAACGGTATAGTTGAAATAAAATGTCCATCTACAATTAAACAATTAACTCCAAAAGAAGCTATAGAAACTGGAAAATTAAAATTTGCAACTGTTGACAATCAAGGAAATCTACAGTTAAAAAAAAGTGACAAATACTATTTTCAAGTTATGGGTCAATTACAAATAACTAAAAGATTGTTTTGTTATTTTATAATATGGTCACCTAAAGGTAATTATAATGCTTAAATTACAAATAAATATTGGTAATACTAATAACTATCGTAAATTGATTTCCACGTACGTATGTTTACAGGTATATTATACCAAAAAATTTTAAGAGATGATGATTTTTTCGAAACCAAAATGAAAACATTGCTAGAAAATTTTTATTTCCAAGCGATGTTGCCCGAGTTAATAGACTCAAGAGCTGATAGAAACCGTCGTTTACGTGACTAACCTTTATAGTTACGCTTAAGTTTTTTACTGAAGAAGTTTGTAAATAAACTATAAAAACATAATAATTTGACATTTTGACTTAATATTCATATTATATGGATCGCATTATTTTTTTCTCCAAGATATCTAACTTACAATACTATGTACATTTATGTGAGTGAAATAACGCCGAGTTCTAATTATACATGTGTATATATTTTAATAAATTATTATAGCATAAATACATAATATTAATATGTATAAATAGCAGTACGTAAGTAGTAAGTACCAAGTTGTAATGGTTCATCCTCTCTAGCACTCACTTTCCTCACCTTTTTTATAATATACATGTGTTTCGGTGTATGCGATTGATTGTGTTATTCCTTTTACGTAAAAAAAGTGATTATGTAATTAATGAGTAAAAAAATTGTGTATACAAAAATAGGTTTAGTTATTATAATATAGAATACTAAAATAACCTACTTTTGACAACAATATATTTTATGACCCACATAATTAGTCGTTTACGTTTAATTGTTTACGATGTTTGATGTCGACGGCGGGTCGATTCCTGGTAATATTGAGAGAGATTAGTCTTACACACACTAAGGTTCGTTTACGTTGCACACACTTACAAGTCAGTTTAATGCTATCATGTTAAATTGCCTATATTAATTTCCTTAAAACACGATCGACTGCAGCCCCCTTAAGACTAGCGTTAAAAAAAATTACATATTATGAACGAGTATGTGCGTCGAATACCTACCTATTTTATAGGATAGTCTCGGTTAAAAAGAACACCATTCCGTGGTATAATATTATAATTATGTAACATATACTATGTACCTATATAATATCCAACACGAAACAATATAAGCTTGACGGTCGATCGACGTGATACGTGTAACGGCAAGTAGGTATAATACCTACCCGGCTACCCATATACCTATACAATGGTAATAGTTTAAAATCATTAGAGCACGGTCATTATAATATACATACGTACCATGTGCATGTTTAGACAAGTATGCCTGTATATGCACGTGCGGCGTATATACCTTCCTTGTCAAGTGAACCTAAGGTCGCCCGCGGTCAACGCGCGTGTCGTATACCCATACGCGTATATTATAATATAATATATTGTAATATATAGACGCACCTCGGACAAGTCGGACCTATATTACAGCCACTCATCACCATCACAATATTTTTAAAGGTGGCCCTATCTCAAAAATATATTATGATGGTCTTGAACGGACTCGATCAGATCTTTTCATTTGTCGAACCGGAGTTCGATTCGGTTAGATGTTTTTAAACCAGGTTGGACTTTTGGACTAAGACCGAAGTACCGAACACCTGAAATTCGGTTCGATTTTGGAACTTGATCAGATTGATCCATGTCTAATAATAATATTTGAGTGGGGAATGGATTTTTATTTATATACAAATGTGAAATGGTGTTTGAATATTATTCATTGTAGGTAGGTATATGATCATACTTATAGTTGAATAAGCAAGAAAAAAAGTACAACGTGTAAATGGACAAATATTATGAGAGCCCGTAAAAAATTAATTCGAACTGTAATTGCCAAAAATCAGGTCCGTTACATTAGCACCACTATATTCAAAATTCCAAAAATCCTGTTTACAATTTGGTGCCATCACCTTAAGATAAAATATGCACATATCGGCGTAAAATGAATTATTTCAGTAGTATTATAAGGCCGATGACATAATATCACATTCGAGTATTTAAAGTATAACTGTGATTCTCTACTGCTGCCAAGAATCAGCCTAATAAATTATCCAAAGTTAATAAAATTGTTTTACATTTTTTTTTCATGTATTTTTATGTTTTATTACCACATACGTATTTTATGAGTTATACTTAAATATTTATGTACACATTTTCACATTTTAATTACATACAATTCCGTTCCTGAATTTATTTTATAGTATGTTACTAGTTACTACTACAACTACTTACTAGTGCTGCCGCCAAATATGTTTATCGCACATGTGCGTCACTGCGTCCCAATATAAAAATAGTCATTATTTATTTTATATTTTTTAATATAACATAGGTAGGTATATACAGTGGTTCAGGATCAAGAAACTATTAGCATTACCCGCGATGATCCGAATTATTGCAAGTTCCCAAAAATATTTTTTCCGTTTATCTTTCTTAACTCTTATATTATTTTAAGTTTAACATATTTTATTTTTTATAGATACTTCAATTTTTACCTAGTTGGTTCTTTAATTCCCATTATGACACATTTTATCCACACACATTTTTATCAAGTAACATTTCCAGTTTGACCAGCTTAATATTTATAACATTGTCTTGAATGCTATATATTTCTTTGTTGATTAATGGATCTAGTTTTTCGAATTTTTTTAAATAAACTAACTTGGTCAAACTAAATATATATATAGGTATATAGTACAAAATAATAATAATAATAGTATATTTCTCAAATCAAAAGAAACATGTATATAGATGGTATATATCAATAAGATAAAATAAAGATTTGCAACTCCCTTATAAGCTATAGCTTGTGATGGAGAGTTTTATTTGAATTCAATTATTATTGACAATAAATATAATAACAAAATATAGTCAAAAAAATACATCATTTGTGATTCATCATAAATAAATTTGTGTAAGATCAACACTATTTAAGTACAATATCAAATCCTTTACATTTTTAAAATTATATATATTTATTTTAAGTATTTTACATAATTTGATTACAATAATTTATATAGAACTTTTCATGCCAAAATGTTAATGGTAAGATATACACTTAAATTAATATTCGTTTTATAACGTGTATTATAAATATGATTAACATAAACAGTATTATTTTTTAAATCATGAAAACACAGTAATAAGTTGTTATAATATAAACATTTAATATTAAATCGATTAAAATAAAAATTATAATACAAACAATAGCTAAGGAGGTATAGTTATTACTTAGAGAGCAGATTTTTAGATTCTTAAAAGTTTTAAATAAAATACATTAGGGTCTAAATTAATTCTAAAATATTATTTTATTATTCCATTAAAAACTGTAAAATATATTCCTTTTTTGGATCGAGTCACTCTTTTACTCAGTAATTATATAAGTGAAATATATACTTAGGTAGGTAACATTTAAAAGCTAAAGTGTATCATTCACATCACAGTCCGAAAGAACCAGAGTGACCATGATTACCAAAGTAATTACTGAATACTATAAGCACTGACCATCGTGATTCAAGATAGTCGATAGATGAACAATAAATCTCAATATTTCAAACAAGTTAAAGAATAATTTCATAATTATTTGGCAATACAATTTTTTTCCGTGACAGAAAAAATCCCGCCTTGTAAGATGAATAATTATTATGATTTTTTTTAAATAAAAATACAATATATTCTAAAATATGAGAAATAAGCTAAATATTATTTTCTGAACCCAAAATATGCTCATAATTATTGCAAACCAAATTATTCTCTAACCTTATCTATACCTAATCAATAATAATCGTCCTCATTTTTTCCCTTGTATATGAAATCCCCAATGAATATTGCAATATTTATAAGGTAGGTACACTCTCAATTACAAATTATTTATGAACTTCCTAATTAATGTACCCCTTTATTACGCTTATTCCATTAACCATGATTGAGATTAAAATATATAAACAGTGATTCGTCAAAAATGTCCTAGCCACTTCACAATTTTGTATAATAGTTGGTTGTTTAAGTAATTTTTTCTCATTAAATATTGACAATTCCGTTATCATCTCTCATACATGTTTTCCTCCCCAGGTGCGAACGTGTCCACCCTTGCATAGGTGCATGTACCTCATGAACACTGCCCTGTTATATCCTACTATATATATGTAATTATAATATTATACAAAGCCGTGCGAATACAACGATGAATAACTTCAACATGAGGCCGTGCTGTGGTTATCCAAAGACGTCATACTATGACGATTTTCATAATAATAGCTAATTATTATCTTGTCGAGTAAAAACTCATTTTCTGACTTATTTGATAAACGATAATATTTAAAATATTAAATTCCTAGCAAATACATTTTCGAGGTGGTTATAGGTAAATGCACTTCTCCACCCTCTTCCAATAATAGAAGTTTTAATTGTGATTTTACTATTACAACGGTTACTATAATATATAGATATAAACAGTATAGGTATATCTGTAAATATTGTAATACCTATACATAATATATATATATCATATTATAATGGTGAGCGTTTGCTGAGGAGTGTATTATTTATAGATTATAATATATATATAGTTCAATTATTGTTCTCCATAAGAACGATGACTTGACAAATTATTCGGTTCAGCTGTCTGTATAAATATGATCATTATATAATCATTCATCGTATACATCCGTCCTGAATGTTACTATATATACGTATAGGGTAGGTACATAATGGAACCTTTAACGCCCAAATATTTCGTCCGCCGAGTCGCGGTCTGGCCTGTCGTTGAATTCGCTTCCATACGATTCTCTGTCGTAGACCGCAAAGTGTGTACTGTGTACCTATATACTTCATAAATACGGCGGGTTATTGACTGACATGTCAATCAGAGTGTATACGACCCGAGAGAAGTCGAGACGTCACGGATCGTCAGGCTCGGCTGCGGCGGCAGGATGCTGCCGCCACGGACTGTCCCGAGTAACACCGTATAGACTGTAGTTATTATTTTTTTATCATCTCTGTCGTCGCCATCACAGCTCATTGGGTATCGGATTTGTTTACATCCGCGGAGTACTTCTGAGTAAATTGTTCGTGCAGTGTGTGGGCACTGGGCGGCGTGTGTGACCCGACCCGTGTCCACGTTTAATATAAAATATGTATGTAACAATAATAATATAGGTACCTATTAGATTATTATCGTGAAAGAACGAAGTCATATTGTATTGTTGAAAAGAACCGGTGATGATGTCGGTAAAAAATGTATTACAATATTTACTGTTATTAGTTAATT